AGTACTTTTGGCACATCCAGTATATTTTGATGCTAATCATTTTAGTTGAGTAAACCTTTGAATGCAGAACAATCACTGTTTTGTTGGCATTGCTTGATGTTCCATCTCTACTGCTCTCCTGTTTGATGTTTCACGTGTTAAACATATTCATGATAGAAACCCTGGCTGCTGCTTGAGTTTCCTCAACTCACTTTCTCCATCTTGCTATGAATTAAACAAAGGGAAAGTGAGAAGAGGGTGGTGGAGGCAAATGGAGAGGGAGAGAGTTAGCAGAAGAGAGAGAGAGAGATGTGGTAAATTACATTGTCAATTCAAATCCTGCCACTAATGCATCTCATTGAGTGTGTCGCTGTCATCCCCGATGCTCGGTTATCTGTGTCAGTGCAGCCAGCAGAGGAGGGCTGCCATGTTAACAGCCCAGCAAGAAGCAGGGAAAAGTTTAGAAGGCCAACATGCCCTGAGCCAGGATGAGAGAGGAGAGACAGCAGAGATGAAGTAGACAGGCGAGACATGAAAAATTAATCTTTCCTACATGTGTGTGTGTGTCTGCAGAGCTCTATCAGTTTAATTACAGCTAGGGCCCTGGCCTCCATTCCGACACGGCCTCTTTCCTACACGAATTAAAACATCATTCTAACTTCTCTCTCACACACTATACACACACACACACACACACACACACACAAGTACCAGTGCTACACATGTACACACTATCCTGTTGTAGTTATCATTTCCAGTGCGCTCGCTAACGCCCCCTCCTCTCCCTCAACCAGCCCCCGTCCCTGTTCCTCATCCTCCAAACTATTTGAAAATCAATTATCTCAACAAACCAGCTGTAAGGAGTGGGCGCCAGCCACTTACTCCTGAAGTGAATAACTTATTTGAAATTCATTATTGTGTCGAGCGGTGCGACAAGGCCCTCCAAGACTGCATTTACCATTTCCCTCGCTCTCTCACCCTCTCTCTCTGACTCAGTGGCTCTCTTTCTTTACATAAACTAACTACTGTGCTGGACCGATCATTTTTCCTTCTCTGCCACGTCCTTCTCTCCTCCTCCTGTCATGCAATTTTAACCAGCTGAGCGCCACGGACATGAGCACACACACATATACACCCACAAGGCTTCCATGATTGGTTCACCTCATTTATTCATCACATGCAAATCCTGGGACACACAGAGATGTTTTCTCTCCTGCCTGCTTCTACAGGCATGAATGGGGAACAAAGTAAGGTTGGAGAGAGGAGAAGGTATGAATATGAATATACAGTACATTGTACTTTTTGTTTACTTATATTCATCAACACTTGTTATATTAATATTATTAATATTATTGCAGACAGATTTTTATGGCACCACATTTTTAAAAACAGCAGGTCAGTAAAAACATTTGGTTACAAATAGGTCCAGGCCCTTGTACAGACCAGCTTTCCTGGATTGTATTTCATCCTCTCACTGGCGCTGAAGCAACTTTCCTGACCAACACAGTTCTTGTGCTTTTTGAATGCAGAACAGATTTTGGACTGAATGTCCAGTAACACTTATGTGGTTGAATGGGAACAAATCCCTCAGCCTGGTACCAAAATGATTTAAATGGCCTTCCCAGATCAGGGGAGGCTGTTTTCGTAACAAATTAATGCCCATGGTATGGAATAATACTATTCAACAATAGGTGTAAAGTGTGGGTTTCCACATAATTTTATATACTACTACTGCTGCTGCTGCTGCTACCACTACTCCTACCAGTAATGTTATTTCCCATGTTTTGTCATGTTATGGGTGCTTTGGAAACACAAATGTGGGTCCCTAAAATCCTCTGAAAGAGGGGAGGGATGTGAGTGGTTGCAGTTTAGTTAATTAAGCCTTTGTCAAAGGTTAAAACTATATTGGCAGAGATGCTTGTGAACAGTTAGTGGATGTGAACAAGCTTTAGAAAGTTTTCAACATTTGAATGACACTTTTTTGCCTTATGAGGAGTACACACACAGAGGCTGGTGGTATGTCAAAGACAAGTACTGTGGCAGGCTGAAATACACTAGTGGGGAGGCCACGTGACAATGAGTAGATGTAATGTCACTACCGTTTTAACCTTTCTTTCTTTCTTTTATCCCCTCATTTCATGTTCTTCTTCTCTCCTTGTTTTCTGTCTGCCCTTCTTTTGTATGATGTGTATGATGCTTCTCCTCACTATCTGCTCCTAGTGTCTCCTCTTGTACAGTAAATGACTGAGACAGGGCTGTCATGTATGGCCAGCGCAGAGACAGGAGGTGTCATATCCTTACATCTCTCTGTTTCTGCCACCAGCTGGACTCTCCTTCTCTCTCCTTTTCTGTCACACTCTATCTCTTTCCCATCCTTTTTGGCATTGTGTGTCTCTCTCTCCCCTTCCTGTGTTATGCTTCCAATGCCACACTTATCAGCTTCCTCTGCAGATCTTGTACTATCCCCCTACTCTTTCTGACACTACATCACTACTACAGAACTCAGATATAAATTTTAAAAAACACACTATGATGTGTCCATGGTAGTGTTTTCAAGCCATTTTTGTAAAGATCTCCATTCACTGAATCACCTAAATTGTAAGCCAGCCATTTTTGGTTAGCAAACAAAACACTAGTACACTGCAGCCAACATCTGGTAAGTAAAAAAAGGCCAGATCAGTGTGGATAGAAGGCCAAAATGAGAGAAAAATATCAGTTTTGTGCCGCTTAGCGATGGTCCTGACACCAGAGGCTCTGACAAATGTGTGGTACCTCATGAAGCAGTTGTATGGAACCACTGTGCCAAGGCGTAGTTTGGTCACATGACTAGTGACACATGAACCCCGTTACTGCTTCAGTTGGTATCAAAACCCTGTCACTGGTTTGCTTGTCTTGGCTCTTTGGGAGAGCTGAGCTGAGCCTTTGACGTAAATAGAGACAGAGTTGATAGAGATTTGGTTTGACAGTGTCACCTTCAGTACTAAAGATTCTATAACATTACTAAACCATGATACTCGGAGCAAATGAAAACAGTTCATGTAGGCGCTGTAACATGCACATTGGTGAGAGCTGATAAAGGATCATGGAGTGTAGTAGCTAAAGTTTCTCAAATAGGTGAAATGACCACGAAGTAATGTGACTGGTTCTTGTGGCGCATCATGAAATCCAGTCTCACAACAATGTAATGTGGATTTGATTCCCAATAGAGCTACAAGTTATTTGTGGGGAGGCAACAGTGCAGTGGGTAGAGTAGTTGTCTCCAACCGGGAAGTTGAAGGTTTGAATCTCAGTGCCTCCAGTCCACATGTTGAAGTGTCCTTGGGCAAGACACTGAACCCCACACTGTTGGTTAAAGCCATTGGTTGTTTTGTTTTTGTCACTAGATAGAATATGATTCATAGCACAAAACGAATCAAATCCCAAACAATCCATGAACCAATAAATGATACGTCTCGATTGCATTTCATGTTATTGACCATTAGATGTCCTACTCAAGCATTGTGTTATTGAAGCCTTTAGTAATGAGCCATTTTTGAATACTGTGTCGAAGCTTCAACAAAGCCTCGATCAGCCATCGTAGTGATGGCTGATCGAGGCGTGGGTGTAATGGTGTCTGCAGAGACTATGCAATAACAACTCAATATAGGGTCACAAATATTGTTAGGTCAAAAAAAAAAAGAGCATATGTACAAAAGATTTGTACTTTTTGAATGTGTGAATAAACTCTGTAAGGCAATTATGTTACACAAAGACCGAAAATAATTAAGCTTGTTTGGGAACATTTGTGTTCAGATAGAAAGCATCAAATAGGCCATGACACACCGACAGTGTCGTCATATCCGTTTGTGGAAAAGGCGTTGGCCATGTTCCGCTTACGGGATGTCACGTTAGCGACAGAAGCTTACAGGTATTTAGAATCTTTGAGGGATTTTTCTTCAATAACTAATGTATGTACGATTGTAGAAAGACATTTAGTCACAAAGGTGTCTAAGATCGAGAAGAAATATAAGTTCTACGAAAAATACATCACTTATTATGAAGGTAAGCCTCGTTAATTGTGGCGCTAGCCTACTAATGTGCTGCTAGCTAATTGGCATATGGCTAATTATAACGCGTGCTAGGTTAATCATGACGTTAACTTGGACGTATAGCTCAAGTTACGAGTTTCACACCTGAATCTGACTGAGCAATGACAATTATAGCACATAGTCGATAGAAAGTTGTACAAAGTCACAGGAAACATTTAATGTGCTGCGTTCTGTACGCAACGTTATGCAGCCCGCAGGTGATTCATTATTACTCCAAATGTATATGTTTAGGTGGGCTACGTTGTCTAGCTTTAGCCATAATTGAATGTTAATGTAACGTTACCTGTTAGCATGGTAGCAAACCTCTGCTAGCAAAAAATCTTTCAGGGGTAAGTTAACATTAGCCGTCCAGTACACTCTTGCTTTGCTTGAGTGTGTTCACTAAATAGCTAAACCTGGTTAATCACAGAAAAATAGCTGTGACTTCACTTGTAATTTATACCCTGTTAGACATGCAGTGTTGTAGATGAATGAGCTTCTCTAGTTTAGCCCCTATGGAACATAAGAACTTATGTGTACCACTTCATAAGTGTCTCTTGGCTGTCCTTTTTTGTTAAGACAAAACCGAAAGTACTGCCTGATGGGCAAAGTGGTACCTTTTTCAGTGTTAGAAGTACTTTTATTTTTCACATAAATAAAAGCAGCAATACCAAATGCAACAATGCTCTATTATTATTATTATGCCGAAGCATAGACTATCTAAGCAGCTGCTTAGGGCCTCGTAGCCACCAGAGGGCCCCCAAGAGCGCTGTAAATGTCCCACAGAGAGCCTGTTTATGTATTGCCTTAAACCAAAAGTTCACCGTCTTTATAAAAAAAGGTCGTGTTGCATCTAATGTTTATGGTCATTATCTTCATAACTCCATAATGATTGACATCGATTGTAGAAGTCAACTTTTGAGTAGCCTGTTAATTCTAAATTTGTTGTCACAGATCCTGTTCTTCTAAATGGCCAGTAATGATGTGGCATCCACAGCTTTGCAGTTCTTCCTTGAAGCTGCAAAGAAACAACTTTATATCCAGGTACTCTGCACAGTCTTGTTTTGCTTTTTGATATAAACATTTAAATATTTGTTTAAGCAACTTTGGCACACTTAAAACTACACCAGTGTTGATGAATATCTCCTTTTTTGAAGCAGTAGTTATTCCTAGATTTCAGACAGCTTGTGGCTTTCCTGTCATTTAAGGGCAGTTTCAAAGTCAACTTAACTTTACAGTCTGCCTTATAGAAGATGCAACCATATTTGTATGATACTGAAACATTGTCCATAATATTTTGATTGGTATTTTGTTTAAAATGTTATGTTTTTGCTTTAATGCACATTCAAGAGAGAGTTGAGAATGTTGACATGAGGCTGTGAAAGGTGCAAATTAAAGTGTGATATGGACCAAGGGTTTACAGAACCAAGTAATTTAGTCTAGTTTGGCTTTATTTTCAGGACAGAGGCCCTGAGGTGTGATGCTTTGAATGTCCTCCACAGCCCTGAGGAGTGCTAGATCCAACACACTGCCCTGACAACCCCAGGGTAAGATGTACACTGACCGGCTACTTTAATAGGCACACCTGTACAATTTGTATGCGTTTAAATTCAACACTTCTACTTAACCTGTTTATGAAGCTCAACACATGTTTTTAGTGAGATTGTCATGTACAAGTAAAATAGTGAGGGTGTGGTGTTCCTGATATGTTGGCACCTAATTGTCCAGTACAACACCACCTTTAACCATAACCTCAGTATTAATATTGTACACTTGACAACTTCAAAGACAAACATTTTAAAATTCATAACATAAGGTGGAAGTGTAAACAATCATTACAGGTGTACCTATTAAAGTGGCTCAGTGCATTTCAAAGCTCTCTCTCTCTACACTTATTTATGAATGTTTCATTCACAGGGGGACCAGGTTCCAGATGTGCTGAGTACACCCCCTGTCATCTTAAATGTTCAACAAACCAGACAGTTTAAGATCTGACTTTAATTACATTTTTATTTGTACAACAGTTGTCATCCCAAGGCAGCTGATGGGGGGGGGTTCCCCTCTATCCTTGAGTGCTGATGACCTGGGTCAGGTATATTCAGTCATCAGAAGCTGATTCCAATTCATTCCACCTTCTGATGACTGAACACACCTGATCCAGGTCATCAGCAGTGAGTAGGGCAGGGATGGTTGGAAAACAAGCAGGGCAGCAGCACTCAAGGACAGCGACTGGTAAGACACCTCCAGCGGTGGGTGGCCATCTGCCTCAGGTGGTTGAGGGGAGCGGAGAGAGGAAAGACCAACCAACTCTGCAGCCAGGGATACCTGCTGAAAGGTACAGGGAGACAAACTACATGAGGACCAGTCTACAGGACCAGCTATTGCTTTTTAAATATTTTATATAATATATAACAGCTTTATTTTCAAACTGACTAAGTAATCATTGTGAGAGAATAAACAGGGACTAAAGTCAAAGTTGCCATGGCAGAGTATCTTACATCTTCCACATGCCATTAACATCGCATGTGCCTGGACACTCCTGCAGTTGCATGACGAGAAGTCAACACTGTAGGAGTGTCCAGGCACATGCGATGTAGCAGCATGTGGAAAATGTGCCTTACCCTGCCAGTAGAGATTTCCCATCTTAACAGCTTTATTTGATTACATGAATAAACAAACTTGCCTGTCTCCATGTTTGTCCTCAGGAATTCTGTTGTACAATTCTGGATGCTCACTGTGTATGGATGATCGTCACTGTCAATCCATGGCCAGTCTGGTTGAGGAATGCCTGTGGGGACACACACACAAAAGCCTGAATTTAAAACATGCTTTACAATTTCAACCCATCACATTTTGGTTTTCACAGGTTAACTTTATGTTGAACAAAAGTATTGCTGACTGACATCTGACTTTTTCCTTTAGTGAGCACAGTATTTGTATCTGGGTGGGGAGCTCACCTTCATATGCTGAGTGGACAGTGAAAAGTCAGTCAATATTTTCTAATAAGACATGGGGAGAAAAGAAAATGCAACTATTAAGATGTCATCCCTCTGCTGCTCAGACAGGTTCATCACCATCAAACCTAGAGGGAGAAGAAAAGTTTTAACCATTTCCATTTACCATCACTTTTAAGAAACAGACCATGCAAATTTTATCTTTTTAAACCAGGGGTGGGCAATCCCAGTCCTGAAGTGCCACTGCCATGCCCTACCTTATCAGGTGTATTAAATAAACTACAACTGAAAAATACTGACTCAAATTAGCTTAGTGGGACATCAGATGCTGCATTTGAGCTTCAAACTTTGAAGTGCATGTTTTTAAAATAAAGTGAGGGTAGTGCATTTTGTCCTTAATCTTTTACAGCATAACCACATTCTGGGTGGAAACAGTTGGCGTGGAGAATAGGGGAAATAATGGCAAGACCTATTTTCATACACATTGAGACGCTATTGATTTAACACCAACTTGAAAAATCTTGAATTCCTTTAAGCAGTACTAAGCTTGAAGGAACATTAAATTTCACTTTTAAGAAAGTATACACAATAAGAATTTAAAATAAGTTGTGAATAATTTAGTATTTACCATCTGATTTGTGCGGATGCAACGTTATCCACCTGTTGTGAGCCCATTAGGTTTTGGGTTATCTGGCTCTGAATTCTGGACTTGACGTAACAGGTCTTCAAGTGCACTGCAACAACAAATACATTGTATAATTATAGTATACATGACCTGTGTTGAATGCATTTGGTTTGTCAATTTAACTTCCTTTCATCATATACTGGCACAAACATCTCTTGAATAGAGTGGTGTAGGGATGATGTTTATTCTAGGCCAACCCAGAAGTTAGTATCACCCTAGTTCCTCAGACAAAAAGCCAATGGTATTTTCACACAACCTTTTGGATTATTGCAAAAAATAAGAAAAATTTAGACAAACATTTTATTCAGCAAGATGGTCTTCACAAGTGAAAACTTGATTTTTGAAGCCCACATACAATAACCGGAAGTCAGTGATCATGGCCATGTTGGTTAGAATAACTTACCCAGCAGACAGGTGGGGCACATTTAAGGTAATCAGGAAGTTGGTTCCAACTCCAGCCACTTTCAAGTCAAAAATGTGTTTTTCTTTGTCCATGTAAAGCACTTTGAATTGTGTATGTATATGATGTGTGCTATATAAATGAAGCCGCCTCGACTTGTTAGGCTACAAACCAACTACACCACCATAGCTTCCAACTTGTACTTTGAGTTAGTGTACTTACGTGTCCACAGCTTAATGGAGAATGGTTGTATCAAATCTGTTGAACAGGGACAAGGTAAAGCACATGTTTCACGTCGTTTGTGATGATCTTCGACATCTTGGCTGTAGCTGTGCCGCCAGACAAAGGTTCCTCTGGCCACTGCCACAGTGAAGGTAGAACAGGAGACATTACAGGAATAGAACAAGACCTTCCAACTAAGACTGTTACAAAATAAATGAAAATGACCACGAAGTTACTTATCGATAGTGGTTTTGACACCTTTAAATCCTGACATTGCTTCTACCGTCATCCTGCCCATATTTTGAATTTGAACAAAACAGCCTTCCAACAAGTTCATTGATGAGTGGCAGCTGATGTTTTGTCCCAACTTCAGTTTAAATGGAGCCTCCATCTTGCTCAGAGGTGACAGTAACACTCCACACAAGTAAAAGTGCACATAAGCTACTTCCCTAAAAAAAGGTACTCCACTGCAAGAAAGAAATCTGTCTTCTAAACACTACAAAATTTGATAGTGTTGAAAATGTACAAATCTAGTCCAGGTATGTTTTACACGTGCTTTTCAGAAGACAACCCCTTAAAGCAGATCCAACAGGGGATAAATAACTAGTTAATCCTAAATCATAGCAGGTTTTCTTAGAAGCAGATGTGTACAACTAGCCTCATTGTTAAGGTAAACATGCTCAAGCAAACAAACAAAAAAAAAAGTGTACTGGACGGCTAAATGTCTAACCACACATTCGCCCTACCACCAGCTTTACTAACCTTCTTAATTAACACTCAGTTCTGGCTAACACCAGATGAAACTACCTGAACTTAAGGAGACACGTCTGTTCAGCTTCTTTATTTTAGAATAATAGCTGAGCGCCTCACAGAAAAGCTGCACATGAAACTGTTTCTCTAACACTACCCACCTGTGAAGCAAAAGCTCCCGCGCTATCATCCATCTTGAAAGTCTACTATTACCTGAGTCGGAGGTAAACCATGTGAGCCTTATATGCCCTCTGATTGGACAGTTTGAACCTGTTCTGTGATTGGATTGTTATTGTCCAATCAAATTCAGGTGTAAAAGCACAGATGTTCACAAATGCTCTTAATTATTTTCAGTCTTCATCTAACATAATTCGTTTACAAATTTTATTCACACATTAAGAAGTTTTAAAAAGTAAAAATCTTTTCTACACACATGCTCAATTTGTTTTTACAAGTACAAATATTTTCTACACACAAAATGTTTTTATAATTACAAAGCTTATCTACACGTTTTACAAGCTCTAAATCTTTGTGACCTTGTACCGAACCCATAATGTTTACAAGATGTGATCAACCACAGCACTTATGTGTGGTCTTATCGAAATTTGGCAGCCTGTAACTCTCTAACACTTGGCGTGGTGACACAATGATAGTGAAGCACCTCGTTACTATTGTCACTTCCTCTCTCTTTCTGCTTCATTCATTCTATTGTCTTTTCATGACTTTTCTCCACACTCTCTCAGACACCATCAGCAACTGGCATCTGTGGCTGTGTGTATGTATGTGCGCACTCACAGGTGTTGTATATATATATGTATGTAATCACTTGCGCTGCGCACATGAATTAACCCAACTACAGTATATGTTTATATGTGTGTGACTCCAGCCTGCAGGCGACTCGGTGGCAGGAAATCAGTCAGTTGAGCCATCCGAGTAAAAACGGGGTCAAATTGGCCTTTCAGCTGGCTTTAATCTTCCAGTCATTTCTAAAACCTGCCTGCCTCTCCACAAAGCAGTTCCACTCTGAAACCCATAGTAAATAGTTCACTTCAACATTTGATGAATAGGATACACGCTGAAAGCTTGTGTGTGCACGTTCAGTACAAGTGTCAGTCTGTGCGAGTTGTGTTTGCCACTCAGCTTTCTGTGTGCTTGTGCATGTGCAATTTGTGCCATCGCTTCGCCCATGTTCTCCGACCCTTTCTGGCTCTCAAGTTCTGCAGCTGAATGGGATTTGTTTGCATTGGGAGTGAGTGAGGGAGAGCCGCGATCAATGCCAAAACCATTATAGGACACGCTTTAAGTGGAGCAGCCCCATTTTAGCAATTTGACAGTGGTCGAGGCCCGCATATGGAATTATTTGATCAATAGCCATGTAGCTTGATAGAGAGGAGTAAATTATATGATCAATGTTGTGCACAATGTCACTACATGCGCACTTTGTCGAGAGAGTTTCTGTTTATATGTGTGATTCTTCTTCTGTGTAAATCAGTGTTTGTGTGCACACATACCAGTGCACATACGGATAAGTAATTCCTGAATACATTGTTAGTGCGCTGTTGCAGCGTTTATTTTTCTATTTATTGGAATAAGGAGCTTGTTTCCTTGGGCCCTTTGTATATTTCTCGCTTGCTTTCTGGGCATAATATGCACAGTTTTGAGAGTGGAAGCAGACAGGGATATCAAATGGCAGAGATGAAAAGAGAATGAATGGGGAGTAGGGGAGAATAGCTAAATTATTGATGTGTATCATAGTGCCTATAAACACACAACGCACTGAGCCATCTTCTCGGCTATTCACCTCCAATAACACACTTTTATCACTCCACCAACAAGTACAGATTCTCTGAATACATTTGTGTACATGCCCAGACAAATTCATATTTGATCACAATGATACATATGAGTGTTACGTGCATACAAAAGACCTGTGGTGTTTTGTTACAGTGTTTTTTCAAAGAAAACCCATGAGCTGAAGTGGCTCAACTATTAGGGATGATGACTAATACATACATACACACAAAAACATACACACACACCTCTAATCTGAGTCCATCTCTGTCTCTGTAGATGAGATCACTACCCTCTCCATCACTCTGAAATACCGCCTGTGTGCATCTAAGCCTGAGCGTGAGTGGCGTACACCAGGGCGATGCGATACCTCTCCTCATAGTAGGTTTATGGTCGTGTACATGTCATGGATCTCACTGAGAATCAGAGAGACAGCCTGATAGCCTGACAGAGTGGCCTCAGCCTGATTTGTTCCCCCCATCCTCATCTCTATCTCTTTCTCCTGTCACATGGTAAAAGTTGAGCTGGTGGGGGGGACTATGCACAAACGACAAGAGGAGGTTGGGGCTGGGAGAGAGATGGGTGGGTGGCTAGATGGAGGTAGGAGGAGGGGAGAACAACACAGAGGAGAACCTGTCACACTCACTTAGATGCTGAAATATTAAAGTGAGCAGTCAGGTTGTAATTTTCCTGAGAAAGCCAAGGGAGGAAGGGGATAAGTGAAGCGAGAGAAGGAGGGAGGCAGGAGACAAGCGATAGAGATGCAGAGAGAGGAAAGGTATCACAGCTGATCTTTCTTTCCTCTCTTCTTGAAAGAGACACAGGCACATTTTTAATACTGCTACTTTAATTAGCTTGGCTTTACACGGTCTGTCTCTTTCTGTTCCTCTTCTTCGTGAAATGTGAATAATTCAGCAGGGCTGGTGTACCACAGCCTAGCAAAGACAGCAGGTCCATCAACCTGAAATGTATCTGGGAAAGACACAGAGAGCAAGAGAGGCAAGAACAGAGAGTTGGACTTTGCTTGTCTAAAACTACAATACCTTTTGTCCCAGTCTAACAGATCAGTGTTTTTAACCAGTACCAGTAGTTTTATTTTGCTGGCAGTCTCAATGTACCATACATCCTCTCAGTATGCATAATACCTGAACAGCTAATAGCCTGATTGTTTGTTACGTATATAATCTCACATACATTGGTGACTGATTAGCATAGTCCGAAACAAACTACTTTTGCAGCAATCCTTATTTTAATCCTGATATGTTTGTGTATCTTTGCAGTTCTATCAAGCATGTACTACAGTATATGCTTCTTTGTGCAAGTTACCCCATGTCTGTATGAGTGTGTATAAGGGTAGCATTTGTGAGTATTTCTATATTTGAGTGTGTTAGAGTATGTGTTGGTGTGTGTGCATGTCAGACTCTGCTTAGCTCTGCAGTTTGGGTTGTGGACGATGATACAGTATGTCAGGACAGTGCAGGTTGGAGATTTTGGTAGTAGGCAGGGTTGATGAAGGGGGGATGATGTAGTTTCTCTCACATATAATCATATTGATATTGTATGTTCTCTCTCTATGTGTGTGTGTTAGTGTGTGTGAATTTGTTATGACAGCCATGTCAACCTACAGCCGACTCTCAAAACCAGTCCTGTCCCAGACAGGGCCAGGCTGAGGTGAGTTGTCCCCTCTGTCAGCCCTGGAGCTGACACAAGGGACTTCATTGCCACTGCTGGAGGGGAGACAAGAGAGGACTGAGACATACACACACATACACATACACACATACACACATGCAATGACAGAAACAGTGTTGTCATCTTTCAGCTTTTGCAGAAGTTTTAATGAGTTGAGAATAAATAGAAGTCCCCATTTTCTCCTTCTCTTTCCATCTTTGTCTCTGTCTCCCCTTGGTGTGACTTGTCTCCATTCCAATCATAGCTCGCTTCAGCGATCGCTGAGTCATGTCTGAAATGGAATCCACATGGCAGCCTGAGTCAGCCAGGACAGCAAGCCGAGCGCAGATTAGTCATCCTGCAGAGGTGCTTTTGTCAGGGGACAATGACAAATCTTTGAAATGAATGAAAGAGTGATGCCCCGGGGGAGTCTGCCTGCCTCAGCTAGGGATTACAGATACTCTTGAGTGTGTGTGTAACCATGGTTGTACGAGTTCTGTGTTCATCTCTTGTCTGTGTGTGCATTTGTGTCTATTTTAGTTAAAGACATGATTCTACAGCTCAATCTCAAAATCAAAGGTGGAATTTCAGTACTAAGAAGTGTACTTTGTTTTCTCCTGTTTTTCAGAGTTAGCTGGACATATAAGACATATAAGTGGGTTGGTCAGAGAGAATGAAGTAAAGAGCACAGATTGTCCTCTTGCTCCGATTTATTTGATTGTGTATTACTTGACTTCCTTCCTGCTGGCAACAAGCTGGGCAACAACTTGTCTCACAGTTGAGGGCTGTTGTGGAGCTTTCCAATCAAACATGACCCATTGCCACTAATCTTGTTTGCGACTAGATCGGTCACCATAATCCATTTCACAACAAATAGGCTTCTACAGCGCACAGTGAAATCCACCTCTGACCAGGTTGCAGTGGGCGGTCACAATATCATCCACTGAAAATCTGTCAACAAGAGATGCTATAGAGATCCTGTATGTGACTCCCTGTTAACTTTATCAAATATAGGGGTTGTACAAACACCTCTTTGTGTAACATCCATTCACCCATCTTTCTTTCTATAATTTACTGCTTGTTTACTGTGCTGCAGACTGCAAAAACAAGTATTCATCCCTCAAGGGAATGGAAACTAAGCTGCTTTTGTACTTGTGAAGTAATAACCAAATGTTATTACATGTTTGTCTTGTAATACAATTTGATTCTGGATTGTTCAAAAAAACCAACCTTCATTATGAAGGGACTTTGTAAAGTCTTTATGTTGCTAATGAATGATCAATGAATCCACAGTATTTAAGTCAGAATTTCTGGGATGTATACGTTAAGGCTATGGTTATGCTCTTTATTTTTTACATCTTTTAGAGATTGTGTATTTAAGGACCTGTCGGAGAGCTTAAATTTACAGCAACTGAAACTTACACACTCTTTTAAGGGATGATTCTAGTACTTTTTTAAATACAAAACACAAAACTTTTATGCCAAAAAAGAAAGCGATAAAAGGTTGTATGCTACATTTTCATATTTGATTCATCTCAGAAATCTTTAGGAAAAGTAGGATTAATATCAGGTACAGGTTTAACACAGTTAAAAATACTGATGACACTGCACATTGAGCTTTAATGAAAAGTACTTTGAGAAAGTACTTTTCTATCTATCTGGGATAATCCTTCAAAGAAAAATATCACTTTGGGATAAAAACATCTACACAAAAATATTTTTCACATGACAAGTACAATTATGTATTTGTT